TCTCCATTCATACTTGGCTTAAAAAACCTACTTTGTATGGTCGCCATTTCATTGAACAGTATTAACAGAACAGTATTAATAGTCTTCACGCTAAATGCTTAATAAATACTGAACTCCTGCGTGACAAGCCTTGATATGCTTAGAGCGTATTAAAATTTGCACAACAGGATGTTTCAATGGTAGTACTATTGGTGTCCTGAAGTTTTCGTGGTCGTTTCTATCAGTAAGCTTCGACTTTACACGAATCAAACCATTTTTATCTTCAAAAGGACATAATGTTGCAAGTTTAGCATCTTCCAGCCCACAAAAACTCTCTTTCTGGACTAGTTTCCAAACATTGGCTTCAGCTTTTTCTATTTCTTCCAGGGTTAAGGAACCATTTACTTTTTCACTTCTACGGCAATTATTATAAAATCTATTAATCCATGCTACTATATGCACGATCTTTTCAAAATTGCTGAAGTATTTATAATACCAGCCTGACTTAGTTTCTTCAGCATTTGTACAAACTGATACGATTCCTTTCTTCTTTTCACTGTGGATTTCTTCGTCGTTGTAAATCATGTGAACTTTTGGCCATTCTTCTGGAGGCTGTCTTAGCCACTGAGGGCCCTCCCACCATTTACAAAAAACTAGATCCTTAGCCGAGCATCCTCTACTAGCTACATCAGCGGGGTTTAGGTTTCCAGGTACATGGATGGGTCTTTACAAGATAATGACCTTATTTCTTGACATCTATTCCAAACAAAAGTAGCCCAATTGTCTTCTCGTTGAATCCAAGATATGACTGTGGTTGAATCGCTCCAAAAATGTGTTTCTAAATCAGAGATTTTAAGACTATCAAAGATTGACCTTCCAATTCTGGCTCCAATTGTGGCTGCTAGTAGTTCCAGTCGAGGGATTGATAGGTCTTTCACTGGTGCTACTCGTGACTTTGCTGCTACAAAATGAAGATTGACTGATCCATTGGCCTCAGTCCTTAGAAATGCGACAGTAGCATAGTCGAATTTACTAGTGTCACAAAATATATGCAAACTAAAAGTACCATCCTCCCCAGCGAAAAAACGAGGGATGTTAATCTTACTTAAATATCCCAGATCTCTGAACCATTTTAGAAAGTCACATCTTATGTCATCTGAAACCTCCTTGATCCCATTTGAATTTCATGGACCAAGTCCTTTGCAATAGAATCTTAGGAAGCAGTGTTACTGGGGAAGATATCCCAACAATATCATAAACTTTGTGAGTAATAGAAAGCATTTTACGCTTTGTAACTACTTGCAAGTCAACTGATTTGAGAAAATCAGCATTAAGTTTAAGCACGTTAGTTCTCTTGTCCCACAGCATACCTAATTCAGCAACAGGTTGAGTAGTGGGCGAGAGAGTTTTGTCAGTAACCTCCCACCCTCTAAGTTCAAATTTACCATCTAAAAATAAACTAGTTGCTTGGGAAATTAAATTATTCAGTTCACTTTCAGAGCTCACACTTGTTACACAATTGTCGACATAGAAACTATGCATGAGCTGTTCGACATAAGGGTTGGGATATCCATTTCCCCTTATAGCAAAACTTAAATGATAGTTAATGGTAGCTGCCAGTAAAAATAGATTGCAGGTCACACCAAAAACTACTCTTTTGTGTCTATAAATTTTGAGGTTTCTATCATCATCATACCACAAAAATCTTAGGAAATCTCTATCGGACTTAGACAAACTGATTTGCAAAAAAGCTTTCTTAATGTCAGAAATGACACCTATTTCTTTTAATCTGAAGCGAAACAGAATGGAAGGAATTAATTCAATCAAATTAGATCCCTTACTGAGACAGTCATTCAATGAAGGTTGATTATACTCCTTAGCGGATGCATCAAAGACAGGTTTTACCTTTGTTGTACTGTTTTCCTTGTAGATGGGACAATGAGGCAAATAATGTCCCAACATACCAAAGTCAGCGGTGTATGGGACTTCTTCAATTATACCTTCTTGTTCCCATTCTTTGAACACGGCATCATAAACATCATATGTTTTCTTTTCCTGGAGTTTTTTCACTGTTGATTCAAGTCTCTTGACCGCTATGTTGACATTGGTCGGCAAGGGTGGATGGCCTTCTCTCCAAAGTAAAAGCACCTCATAACGTCCGTCATCATTGATCTGAACAGATTTGTTGAAAAACTCTGTAGCTTCAACATCTTCTTCAATCTTGTTCTTCCTTGAATTCAGATCTTCAATTACAATGACATCTAATTCCCATAGCTGTGAGATTGGTTTGTCCTTCAGCAACATTGTATGAGTAGTCATGACGTTAGGGGAGTCTGTAGATACCACTGCTGTAGATGGAGTCTATCCTAACAAGGTCCATCCTAACAAGGTTCTTACTGCAACGAGACCTGAACTCAAAATTATTCGCTCATCCATTAAAAGTTTTCCAGCGACATCTGCACCAATCAAAATATCAATAGGCCCTGAATGAGTATCAGAAATTGTTACCCCTAACTCCTGTAACTCCTTCATCCAATTCCCAGGTCCCGCAACTGGTAAAGCATTGCATATTTTTATTTTATCTAGAACTTCAAAATTGCAAGCGTAGTTGGTCTCTGGGTTACCAAGTCTGACTCTATAACAAGTGTGTTCTTCAACTTCACTACTAACTCCACCGAACAGTGAATGTTGTAGCCTCTCTTTTCGAATGGCTTTATACTTAATTTCTTTTGCAAGATTCTGAGATATATAGGATCGCTGCGATCCTGTGTCAATTAGCGCTCGCACGAACTTAACCTTATCATCGCTTTTGATGCATACACTTAGCGTTTGCAATAAGACCTCTGATCTGGTATTAGCAGATAATGAATTTTCAACTTGGGCTTCAGAGGCTTTATTGCCACTGCCATCTTGCTTAACTCCCTGCCTACACATTAAAGGGACACGTCGTCCACCGCAAATGTTGCATTGCAATTTGGCTTTGCAATATTTGGCTAGATGTTTTGGTTTCAAACATAAATAGCAAAATCCCCTTTTCTTAAGAATATTTGACTTTTCATCATAGGAGAGTTTTCTAGCACTAAAGCAATTCTCACTACCGTGCGAACCTTCACAAAATACACTTCAGAGTTGATTTAGACAGTACATCAACTAAGTCTGAAGCGGATGAAATTCTAGAGTCATTAGTTGTACTAGGCGAATTTAAGTTTGGCCTTCCTACTGATTTACCCGTACTTTGTGTCGAATTTGATTTATTCCTAATAGAACCGCTCCTACGCTGACTTACCGACTGACAAGATTCAAAGCCATCCATAGCTAGTCTTATTCTTTCTTCTGATTCAACTTCACCTTTTAGAAAGAGAACAAGGGATTCTAACTTTGTTTTAAGATCTATAGGTTTATCCCCCGAACTACAAAGTGATCTTTACCACGCCCTAAGACGTTCCTCAGAGAGACATGACTCAACTAAGGGGTACAGTAAGGCTGCACACTTTTCAGTAGTTACCCCCAAAATATCTAAAGCTCTAAGTTGAGTTTCAATCCTATCATACAAAGTTGAAATGGGAATGAATCTTTTCAATAGAGTTTTGAACAGTTATTTTCAAAAGTTCCCTAACATAGATTTCCGTTTGTAAGTCTTCTCTCCCAAACCTGGACTTCAGACATTCAATTACTTTGGGGTAATTGTCAGCTATTGGGGGGAAACTAGTGACTATTTCCCTATAGCCCTAGATTTGGGTTCAGTAGCTTGAATAAGATATTGAAATTTATCTTCATCTTTAAGTTCAGAGTCTAAATTAATATTTTGGAATTGGCTCCAAAAGTGTAGCCAATTTTTCAAATTCCCATCAAATTTAACAAACTCGATTTAAGGAAGTTTTATTCTAGCTTTTGAGGTATTCGGTTTACTTGAACATGATTTACTACAACTTGAAGCTACATCCTCATTAGATTTCAAAGTCAAACTGTCAAATTTAGCTTTTATCAGACAGAACTTATTTAAATACTCATCCGATCCGCTGAGTTCTTCGGTGAGTTGCTCCTCCAGACAGTCTGATCGAGAAGTTTTTCCAGTAGCTTATCATTGAGTTCGTTAAAAGTTGGTCGTTCTTTTTCTCTAATAGTTTCATATTTGCTTTGATTTCAGGGTAATCATGAATTCAATTTGTCCAAGATACTTTGCGAAAGAGTTGTAAACGATATCCGAATTACCGTTCTCTGTTTCTTAAGTTGATTTATTTCTATAATTCCTGGTCCTGTCACGGTCGCCATGTTTTACAATTCTTCTGGTTATAATAAAATTAGAATTGTTCTCAATTCCTGTAAAGAGATTAATTCCTGAAACAAATCAAACTTAGAAACAATAAACATTGTACGGTTCAACTTTTGTGGAAATTAGACAGTTCGAACTAAATTACAGAAAAAATCAATTCTTTTTTAAATATAGCAATCTCATCATTATTTTTATTCTAGAAAACTTACAAAAAGTAAACATAAATCAACTGTCAAAATTATACAATCAAAATACAGCTGATTTTCAAATTTATAAAAATATTAACATAAGTCCAACTTTATTAGTCATTTTCACAAATAGAGTGGTGGAAATTAGTTTAAATACTAATTGTAAGTACATAAGACAGGCAGATCCAATTGATTGAATTTAGAATACCTATACATTTATTATGCACTTAACTATATTCAGAGTTATAAGATAGGGCTGTATTGTATGAGAGAGTTAGTCAGCTAATGCTAAATCAAATAGTTTTTTATTTTATTTTATTCAATAAAAATATGTCTGTTTGTTGCAAAATATTGCCCAAACTGATCACTTATGAGGAGTACATGATTAGGCTTCATAAGCTATATATTTTCTTAAGGTATAGGTTGACATGTGTAGTATTGCCTTTGGTAATCCGACAACCTCCAGGTCCAAGAAGTGTTGGATTATTGAGGCTCAACTGTATTCAATCTTCCAGTAGATCAGATAAATAATGGTGTTGAAATTGATGTAAATTTGTAGCATGGAAGTGATGGAAGAAGGTAATCTGATGGACCGGGTGAGGATCCTGCTACAAAGAGACTCGGGCTACTACCAGCAGCACCAACGTGTCCTGCAGGAGAACCTGTGCATCGGAGTGGTGGGTGGAGTCCTTGACTTTCCCCACTATGCATCCTTTGCTGCAGTCAAGATGGTCAAGTGGTGGGAGGATGAGTACTTGGCAGCCTTCAATCGCCCCTCAGGATTACAAGGTTTACACACCTCATCATGCCATAATCATAAATTGGATAGGCCCACATATTCTGATTTTTAAAAAGGCCAATAGAAAGATCACCAACTTTGACAGATAACAGTTTTTATTAAAGACGACTCCTTAAAAAAAACTTCCTCATGTATTAAATTTATTTTCTTATGTAGGCGCTATATAAACAAAATACAGCACTACAGCACAATCAACAACAAAAATTATTTGGATGTTAATGACAAAAACTGTCCAATCAAACAATATCTTGGTGGTAAATGCACTCAAGGTTACAGATCCTGAAAAGTTTAAACGATATTGTACAAAAGAGTGGAGCGAAGTCCCACAATATACTATTCCTTAGTTATTCATTTAACTTTTTGATAACCTTCAGAACTATAATTTTATTGATTGTCTCCAGGAGAGCTTGAAGTGGAGGGAGAGAGAGGTGGAGGATGTGGGGGAGTAGCCAAGACTTCTGCCCCGTCAACAATGGTATCCCAGGTCTGTATTAGAGCATCAGCTAATACATAATAACCTAGCCCTGAGAGAACAAAACATAATTATCATTACAATAACTAACTGTTACCCACGGGCTTCGACCCCGTTTGACTTCATAAGTATATTAATAAAACTATTTATTGGTTAAGTTAAGCTTAAATAAACAAAACAGAGAATACAGTAATACAAACAAATAATTACTCCTGATTTTAATAAGGTTAAATTGAAAGAATATAAGTACAGCTTAGGTTTTTTTAACATTAGGTATATGGAAAGTTCCCTTTAGAAAGGAATTGAGTGAAAATTTAAAAACGTACGTTTTCAGGAAAAGCACTTTGTAAATTTTTTTCCCCTTTTTTCAAAACTCTTATTATTTTTTTTATTTCATTAACATTTGAAGTTTCATAAAATGTCCATGGTAACGCAATATCTTTGGTAGTTTTTTTTTTAAAAGAGCATTTTTAGTGGAAAAACACAAAATCCTGTCACGACCATAACAGACGTTTAAATGAATATTAAAAATAGTTAATACTATTTTTATAACTATGTTTTGCTACAAACTAATTTACTTTTATGACCATTATACAATAAAAAGGTCACTGAGCTTTTGGTATATTTGGTCTTTCTAGAAAAAAATAAAAAAACTCAAAAAATTGAAAAAAAAGCCAATAAAATCTTTTTAAGTTCGTATAACTACGAAAAAACTTACCTGAGACCCGAAAAATCGTTATGTTTGTATAGAGGTTTGCTTCTTTTGTGTATAAAACATTGAAATATGACGATATTTTAATTTTTGAAATTTTTATGATAGAAATCATAAACGTGATGGTCAGGGACAAGCGGTACGGTCGTGAATTTTCTGAAATAATCTAAATCTTTCTAAACAATCCTTCAATTATACTGTTAGTTATAATAAAAATATGTGTTTCAATTGAACTAAACTGTTCAATTTACAATTATATTAAAGTTATTGTCACGACCAAACACACTATAATCCATAAGGCTGGATTGGTCGTGAAAAAAACCGCGATGGTCGTGAATCTTTGGTCGTGAAATTACGTGTTATTTGGCTCTGTTCTGATGGTAGCCCTGCACCTCATGTTCGAGGATACAAAGTGGACTTCTAGGTTAATCTAGCAATTGAAATATCTTATAAACAAAAATTAACACCATGTCTACTTCATCGAATGACTACGTACGGTCATGGACACACCAAAATTACAAAAAACACAATCTTTCCTTTATTAATCTTGTAATTCCTCCTTTCAACTCGAAACGACCGGCACTACAATCCTGACGTACACCCTGAACTAGTCTCTAAAACCAACTGACTCCATCGACGCCAGGCTTGCCACTGTCGTGCTCCAAAGTTGAAAATTTTTCCCAAATGGTCGTGACGCCAAATCGAGGGACAGACTTATTTTGTCATGGTAGTCAGTTTGCAATGACAATAAAATTATAATATGCTCCTTTTTTGTAAGTTTAATAACCATTGATGACATAAAAATATGGCTTTATATATTTCGGCATGAATAATTAGTCTAAAAACAGTGTGAAAGTTGGAAAATGTACCCTAGGGACACGTCATGGTCGTGAATTTCGAGACTTTGAAAATACGAAAAAAATACCTAGAACCTATTTAAAACCAAATAAATGTGTGTAACATGTTGCCCCCGTCCCAAAAAATATTAAAACACATAATAATAAACTACAAATCCAGTATCTACGAAGTAAAAGGCCAGGGACATGAAAACGTACGTTTTTAAATTTTCACTCAATTACGACCTTAAAGGGCAATTTATGAAATAATGGATAGTTTTGTGCAAGGTTTCTCGTCATGACAAGCATTTTAAGTACTGGGTGGCGCATAAAGAACGCATGGATTTGAGTTGAGTGGTAAGAGCAATAAAAGCGTCCGTGGAGGGACTGGGCCTGGTTGTTTTGTAGGTTAGAGCGTCCAGTTTTAGTAGTAATGGCACAATCGACCTGGCGCATCGCGTTTTTGCTGTAGAACATTTATTCAAAAATAATGAATCTGATATAACTGTTCAATGGCTTCTCCGTGCATAGTTCAATGGTTCAAAACAAAACCCGATCGCAACACAATGCTTTGTTGGATAGCTCCTTTTCGCACAACTGAATCAGTTATGAAGCAGAAGTGGTTTGGTTGTCCTTGCACGGCCCGAAATCCACAAAATGTCGACAGAGTAAGGGCGTCTGTTACACTAGGCGATGCGCTCCAACTGTGTGCTTGTCTTGACGCTCGTTGCAGGGCAACCTGAAAGACGAGTTAAAATTTCATCCTTACAAAATTATGATCGAACAGAAGATTTATGAACGTGATTACGAAAATGGAAACTGTTTTGAGAGAATGGTTGATGTTCTTGCCACTGATGGCGTTTTGTGTGTGATGTTAATGATGGAGCGCAGTTTCATTTGGATAGTTATGTCAATAAGCAAAACTGGCACTATTTGGCAGCAGAAGACCCAAAAGAATTGCATCAAAAACCACTGCACGATTTGAAACTTAACGTTTGGTGTAACTTTCGTTATTTGTGGGCCTTACCGTACTTTTTTCAGGACTCGCGGAACATTGAACTTTGTGCAGAAAAGCCGTTGAACAGTTTTAACAGATTTAATTACTTTTGAATAAATGTTCTACCGCAAAAATCCGATGTACCACGGACCACTGCACCATTGCTACCAAAACTGGACACCCTAACCTACAAAACAACCAGGCCCAGTCCCTCCACCACGCTCCTATTGCTCTCACCACTCAACTCAAATCCATGCGTTCTTTATGCGCCACCCAGTATATGGTTTATGGGGGTGTGACTTGTAGTTTTCTCAAAAGTTCATGGGTACTTTGGGATTTATGGATTTGTTCATCAGTAACAGGAACGTGCTTACACACTTATTTTTGTCAAGAATATTAGTTCTGCTATTTTTAAACTGAATGCACCATCTCCGGACAGAATGTCCGTTCTACATTTTGTTCAGTACTTTTTGTTATCATACACCTTACGCACTTGATGCTAAGCGAACAAAAATAACCTTATTATAGACCTCTCTCCCCTTACAACTTGCATCAATTTCAATTGCAGCACTAATTTTTAAATTCCATCTTGATGGCCCCTGGATTACTATGAATGACTATAATATTGTGGTATAATTACCTCGTCAAGTAATCCAAATGTTTTGATGTTAGGTTAAAAACCTACATGTTTCACCGTTAATACGGCATCGTCAGGGTACAAACACATAAAAGACATTACTGTCACACGCACTCAATAAATAAATAACACCAAACAAACATTTAGATAGGCCTATCACACAACGCGGACGGTCCCGGCGCAGGTAGTAGACTCAATTTTTATCAATTGCAGGTGGCTGACTAATTTTTATTTTAAATATTCCAATAATAGGCAGCGCTTTAACACATTGGGTGCGGCGGTATCCATATGGATACCTGGAGTCCATCACGTAGAGGCGGCGGTATCCATATGGATACTTGGGTCCTCCTGAACTTCAATATTTTCCTGTGGCTCAGCCGTTTGATATTTCGAACTAATACTTTCTAGCCACCTGCGTTGACACAGTTGAATGACCGTGGTGACCTTGGTTTCTATTTTTGTCGCGTTATCAGTAGGGGGGGCGGGATGGGGGTGGGCGAGCGCGCCACGTGCGTTTGTTTACGACGCTTTGCAGAATGTTTCCACGTTAGCGTGTAGTGGGTGACTTGCTTTTTGTTGTGTTGTAGGTTGGTAGTAAAATTTCCCCATAAAATCCCCGTCTGGCAAACTTAAAAATCAACTTTTTGTCCCGTCTTTCTCCCTCCAATTGTTAATACGATGGGACCGGCTACGTTCCAAGCAGTGCTGCTATATGTGAGTGTTTAGCGAACTACGTCGACTTGTTATAAAACAGGACATCACCGCACGTTATTTGCTATTCGTCATACCGAAATATGAGAGCCAATCACCCGGCAATCGGGTTTGTTCGACGCTGCGGGCTGCGCCGCACTGGGGCTACGCCTGCTGTTTGATGGCCCGCAGCGAACGTGTTAATGGCTAGACAATATTTGAGGACGCGAACATGACTTGAAACTGGGATGATGGCCCACACATAGCGGCAACAGATGAACACTTTCTGAATAGTTGAAAAAACTAAGTTAAAAACATTGTTATGGCTCTCACTGTCGTCAATATAGGCCAATTGTGCGCCTGTAAGTCTGTGAACTAATGTCCAGTGTCTCTCCACCTCTGTAGACAAGTTCTTCTAATATCAAAGTACTCTTTTTGACTATCCTCAACTCAACGTACATGTATGCATCAAGTAGCAGAGTGTGGTGCCCAGCTGTATGTGTATATGTATATGTATGTATATGTATAGGTATGTATATGTATGGCTCAGATGGCTGAGTATGGTGACCTGCTTTGTATTGCTCAGGTGGCTGAGTGTGGTGCCCTGCTTTGTATTGCTCAGGTGGCAGAGTGTGGTGCCCTGCTTTGTATTGCTCAGGTGGCTGAGTGTGGTGCCCTGCTTTGTATTGCTCAGGTGGCTGAGTGTGGTGCCCTGCTTTGTATTGCTCAGGTGGCTGAGTGTGGTGCCCTGCTTTGTATTGCTCAGGTGGCTGAGTGTGGTGACCTGCTTTGTATTGCTCAGGTGGCTGAGTGTGGTGCCCTGCTTTGTATTGCTCAGGTGGCTGAGTGTGGTGACCTGCTTTGTATTGCTCAGGTGGCTGAGTGTGGTGCCCTGCTTTGTATTGCTCAGGTGGCTGAGTGTGGTGCCCTGCTTTGTATTGCTCAGGTGGCTGAGTGTGGTGCCCTGCTTTGTATTGCTCAGGTGGCTGAGTGTGGTGACCTGCTTTGTATTGCTCAGGTGGCTGAGTGTGGTGCCCTGCTTTGTATTGCTCAGGTGGCTGAGTGTGGTGCCCTGCTTTGTATTGCTCAGGTGGCTGAGTGTGGTGCCCTGCTTTGTATTGCTCAGGTGGCTGAGTGTGGTGCCCTGCTTTGTATTGCTCAGGTGGTTGAGTGTGGTGCCCTGCTTTGTATTGCTCAGGTGGCTGAGTGTGGTGCCCTGCTTTGTATTGCTCAGGTGGCTGAGTGTGGTGCCCTGCTTTGTATTGCTCAGGTGGCTGAGTGTGGTGCCCTGCTTTGTATTGCTCAGGTGGCTGAGTGTGGTGACCTGCTTTGTATTGCTCAGGTGGCTGAGTGTAATGCCCTGCTTTGTATTGCTCAGGTGGCTGAGTGTGGTGCCCTGCTTTGTATTGCTCATGTGGCTGAGTGTGGTGCCCTACTTTGTATTGCTCATGTGGCTGACTGTGGTGCCCTGCTTTGTATTGCTCATGTGGCTGAGTGTGGTGACCTGCTTTGTATTGCTCAGGGGGCTGAGTGTGGTGCCCTGCTTTGTATTGCTCATGTGGCTGAGTGTGGTGCCCTGCTTTGTATTGCTCAGTTGGCTGAGTGTGGTGACCTGCTTTGTATTGCTCAGGTGGCTGAGTGTGGTGCCCAGCTTCTGGAGCACCTCCACACTCTCAGTCAAGAGGCGCTGGACCATGCTGACCTGCAGGTGCTGACAGGCACTCTGGGGGCTGCAGCACTCATCAAGAATTGTCTCTGGATATACAACCAACACCTGACCAAGCTGGATGACAAAAACAGGTAGAAAGAGAATAATAATTACTAGATGGAGAAAGAATATAAATAATGTGTGCACTTGGATGTATTATCAGTGTTTTGTACCTTTTCAATGTGTATTTATTGTTGTGTAATTCTTTAGAAGGGCGAGGTTTGTTTGTCTGAGTTTTCAGTTGTCTGAGTTTCATTTTGTCCGAGGTTTGATAAATAACTAATAATATTTAAATAAATCAACTGTCAGAGTTTTCATTTCCCCGAAGTTGGTTTAAATAATAATAATATTTGGTTAAATCAACTGACCAAGCTTTCATGTGTCCGAGGTTTTAAATTATAAAAAAATGTTAAAATATCATTTGTCCGAGTTTTCAACTGTCCAAGTGTCATCAGTGCCAAAAGTGACTCTGCTACCGATCTGCCAGTACAGTCCGTGCAAGAAGCAATCATAATGTCGTACGTAAGGTAATTCAAGCGATTATTTCAATTACACGGCAGGTTTACTGGTTGATTTTATGATAGTACTAGCTGTTGTACCCGTGCTTTGCAACGGGAAGAGGACACAAAATATAAACCTTTTAATCTTTAAATCTGTTGCATATAATAGTTACACATCCGCCAACACTTTTAGAAACAAAATTCAACTTTTATAGCCTTAATAGAAACGTTTAAGTTATGACTTTTAAATCTGGTAAGTAGTGGATACCACCATTTTGGTTTTGATTAATTTTAAATCTTGTGTAGGCTGATATGAGAAAAACTGACCAAATCTTCGAATGAAACTTTGACATACATGATTTACCTTCATCTCCCTTAGTTACATATCTTTTAATTTATTATTGACATTTTAAATTTCAATTTTTAAGTTGCTAAAATAAATACTAGTTATTAAATTTTACTCTTCCTTATAATAAATCACAAATTCTTCCATCTTCAGTTTCTTCACTTACAATAAATCATTAGAAAAACTAAGTCAGCTGTTATAAACTTAAGAAATATTGCTGTGCCTTATCAATAGGTACGGTACAGTCTTTTGAAATATTAAAGAAAAAATATCTATAGGTACTGTAAAAAATTTTAAACAAATAATTTAGCATTAAAGACAGCAGACAAAACTAATATGATTATTAAAGCATCAAGGACTAAAAAATGTAAAAGCAAATACAGTATATGTTTCATTGCATCTCTGATTCTATTCTAAAAAAATATCAACAAACAACTTAATATAAAAAACCAGTTCTTTTAATCAGTTCCATTGTCCATTGCCTTTACATTTTCACACTTACCATTAAGTAAACATAGTAACAGATATTTAATTGATTTTAGAAACAAAAGAACACTGTGTACTGCTTAGTTTTATGATATTTTCCTTGGTTTAATTTAGTCAGTGGTGTGGCAAAACACACATAATAAATGTATCAAATAAAGTAAATGTGAACTGAAAGCTATGTTAAGATAAAATAGGAGTATTTTGTATTACTATTTGATAATTAAATATAATTGCACATATACAACAGATTTTAGAAAACATAAATCGACGTACAATTTAGTTATTGATGATATTCTTTAGTTTAATTTAAGCATAGGTTTAGCAAAACACAATAACTTAATTTACCTAAATATGCATATAAAATACAATGTGATGTGCAAGTTATGTTAAGTTAATCTAACACATGTTAAGCAGTTAGAATTTATTCAAAGTAGCCTCCAAATTCATGCAAAACATCTATACATTGTAATTTTCATACTGTTTCCATGAAAACATATCAATAACATCATTTCATAGCTTAGACGCTTAAAAAAATCCAAAGCAGAGCAGGAGTTAATACAGCACGGTTATAGAATCTTTTTTTATAATCATTGACATAGTTTTAGAATAAATAACCCATGATAAAAGGTTAGATTAAAATAAACCTGCCTCATAGTTATGGAAAATAGTATATTTAATTTCTTTGTATCAGCTGTCTGAAATTGTAAAATATGCAGTTTAGCAGCACTGAGCTATCTCAGTGTTTAGCAGTTCTTCTTGTTTACATTTAAGTGTCAAAGCAAATGTAAACAAACATTGTTAGTGTTCTCATCGCAGTCATGGAGACCAATCAATATTTACTTTTAAAATGTTCACCTTAGAACTTTTAAAGCCAAAGGGGCAAAGCCTACGGTAAGTATCGAAATGTGAATAGTCCTATAATGGTCCTTGGTATGGTAGCTATATTTTTGTAAAACTTTAGCCCAGTTGGTTCAGTAGTTTTTGCACCTATTAGTAATACACATACAGACAGACACCATTAGATTTTTATATAATAGTATAGATATAGATTATATAATGTTTTTATTAAATTAAAACAGTAGGACTCTTACATAACCTAACCTTACCTAACCTAATCTAACCTTACCTAACCGTTTGTACGATGGCGAACACAGTGTCGGTCTGATTGCTTCTTGCGCAGACTGTACTAGCGGCTCGGCGGCAGAATCTTTTTTGGCGCTGATGATATTTGGACAGTTGAAAACTCGGACAAATGATATTTCAATATTTTTTAAATAATTAAAAACCTCTGACAAATGAAAGCTTGGACAGTTGATTTAACAAAATATTATTATTACTAGAGGACCCATGCTGCTCCGCAGCGTTAAAATAAATATAATATCCGAGAAATAATTAAATTTATGACTTTTGATTGAGTAATACAGTATCTTGAGCTTAACTGATTTAAACGATCAATAGCTCAAATTAAAGCTTATAATTTACTGATTATTTTGAGTATAAAACATATAAAAAACATGAACAATACTGGAGCTATTGATTTGTAATCATAGAAAACCATTATGAAAAATAATTTTCATGTTGGTTGTTCACTTTGTGTTTGCTTGAAACTGGCCCGATTTGAATAACTAATCTTAAATTGAAGTAAATCGTAAATTGATCGTGAATTGAGTTGAGTAAATCGTGAAGTGATCGTAAATTCAAAAAAGAATCTAATTATGCCGATGCTTGATGGCAAATCTGTACGTGCATACCTTCAATTTGAGACCCCAATCATGCAAATCGGTCGGGTAGAAGAGCCAAACGAACTCGGCAATAAAACCCAAATTTAACTCCCATAAGAATTACATGGGGAGCTAATTTCGTTTACGTATATGCCGAGTGGGATTATAGATAAATATATGCCGATGGGTGATGGCAAATCTGTACGTGCATACCTTCAATTCGAGACCTCAATCATGAAAATCGGTCTGGTAGAAGAGCCAAACGAACTCGGCAAAGAAAACCCAAATTTAACTCCCATAAGAAATACATGGAGAGCAAATTTCGTTTACGTATATGCCGAGTGGAATTATAGATATATGTATGCCGATGCTTGATGGCAAATCTGTACGTGCATACCTTCAATTCGAGACCTCAATCATGAATATCGGTTGGGTAGAAGACCCAAACGAACTCGGCAATAAAACCCAAATTTAACTCCCATAAGAAATACATGGGGAGCTAATTTCGTTCACGTATATGCCGAGTGGGATTATAGATAAATATATGCCGATGGGTGATGGCAAATCTGTACGTGCATACCTTCAATTCGAGACCTCAATCATGAATATCGGTTGGGTAGAAGACCCAAACGAACTCGGCAATAAAACCCAAATTTAACTCCCATAAGAAATACATGGGGAGCTAATTTCGTTCACGTATATGCCGAGTGGGATTATAGATAAATATATGCCGATGGGTGATGGCAAATCTGTACGTGCATACCTTCAATTCAAAACCTCAATCATGAAAATCGGTGTGGTAGAAGAGCCAAACGAACTCGGCAAAGAAAACCCAAATTTAACTCCCATAAGAAATGCATGGGGAGCAAATTTCGTTTACATATATGCCGAGTGGGATTATAGATACATTTATGCCGATGTTTGATGGCAAATCTGTACAGGCATACCTTCAATTCAAGACCTCAATCACGAAAATCGGTCTGGTAGAAGAGCCAAACGAACTCGGAAAAAAAACCAATTTTTTAAATATATAAGATTATTTAAACAAACCTCGGAGAAATGAAAACACGGACAACTGACATTTTAATATAATTTAAAATAATTTAATAAAGTCGGACAAATGAAAACTTGGACAGTTGATTCAACCGAATAAATATCATTTATTCAAACAAACAAACCTCCGAGGTGAATTAACTCAACTGATTTAAGTATTTTGTAATTTTTAACATACTCGGACAACTATGATAACTCGGAGAAATGATGTGATCCACTTTAGAACCTTACCTTTAAAATGCAAGGCTACTTTCCAAAACTAATTTCTCAGTCAGTGACTTTGTTATTGCTTCAAACCTTTAAAGTAGTAAAAAACTGTTTTAACATTACTTAGCTTGTCTCAATGATAAACTGTTTCTTTTTTATACATACATACAACTAATTGTAAATTGTACATACATGAGGTATGATGTAGTGCTGTCACTATTACTGTAAGTAAGTTGAATACACCAAAAAGTAAGTTATACTTCAATAAAATGCCCAAAATTCAGCAAAACACTTAAAAACAAAAGAAAGTACCCCAGTTCCTTGATCCTTTTTAACCTCGTGTATTTAAATTTTACTGAGCCCATTTTCAATCCTTTATTTATTCTCCTCATAGATCATAAGAATCTTATAAACTAAAATTCCAGTTCAAACAAAATCAGTAAGAATGTGTACAAAGTAGCAACATACAGAGTGACAACTCGTAAAAATCAACACATGCCATTAACTTCACCTTGAGCCATCGCCAATGTAACTATTTTTGCTAACCAAAAAAATTCAAGTATAAAATTTATGGTTAAAATCTTATTTTAGTTTGTATTATATGTATGTACGTACCTGTCTGTATTTTATGTGTTTTCACCTATGTCTAGTCTATCATTGCTGACGACATACAAGAACTTCCAAGAAATGTCAGAGTCCTTGGCAGAAAGACTATTGGATCTTCACTGCAGACTGATCTCACTATATGTGATGCAAGATGCTGACAGTTTAAACTGGGAACAAATACAACCTTTTTTTGAATCTGAACGAGGGTCCTTTGTCATTCAAATGTGGTGGCTTTACATGCAAGGTAAAAGTTATTTTACTAATGTTTGTCCAGGATTTATTTAATGGCTAATAAAATAAGTGTAATTATTGCTCTGCTGAGTTACAATCCAATCCTAATAATTGGTAGCATCAGTTATTAGTTTGTTTTACATAGACTTACTTGACTTATTTCCTTTAATCCTGAAGGAGGATCTAGGGCCGCAACAAAAGCTCTCCACCTCACACGATTCTGGGCCATCTGCTTTACTTTTCCCTAGCACTAGCCTTTACAAGTGATCTTCTCCACAACATCCTCGGCCTGCCTCTTCTTATCTATTTCCCTGTGGGTTCAACTCCAGAACTTGGTAATAATATAATGTTATAGCAAGTGCTCTTTCCACCAAATTACTTTATTTTTTTATATTTTCTGTTGGATATTTTTGTGCTCTTCTCCAGAGCTCTTCTTAAGAAATGCTGTCTGGCCATTGAGCATTTGGAATTCTTCTGAGGCATTGGTTTATGAACTAGTTCCAATTATTCTGAGTTTGGTGTTTCTTTTTATTAGTTAGATTGATCGCCAGATTGCTTTTGGCTGTACAAACACTACATTAGCTTAGCTTTCCTTATTCATTGTGCCGTGTCCCACCATACATAGTTACCATGATTCCTAGGTAGTAGGTAGTGAAAGAATAGCTTTTGGATTGTCAGAAGGAACTGATCGAGTTTTAAATTACCTGGTTACTGTCAAAACGATCTTTGGTAGTTTACAACGACTACTGCAGTTTCTTGCTGTCAAAAATGGAGCACATCTTCAGGCTCACCCCCATGGTGGAACTTGTCAGGATTAAAATAAAACAAAAATCGATATCTATCTATACAGGGTGTCCATAAAAAACGTTTCAGGACTTTGGGAAATGAATCCTCATACTAAAAGGAAGAAAAAAGTTTATGGGAAGGTATGTCCGAAAATCCATATTTACCCAGATATCCGCCATTTTGTTTTTTATACAAAAATATTTTTATCTGTGAAGTTTTTTATTCGATGATTATGAAACTTGGTAATCATGTTACCATACACAAGACCTATAATAGAAAAAATAATAAAGTTGTTCCAATTGTAAATTTCAAAATGGCGTCCGTTTGAAGTTTTCTAACTTAAATAACTCGAAAACGGCTAATTCTATGAAAAAATGTCAAGAATACTTTTTTTTAGCATTTTTAATCTCCTATCAAACGGTACCAAGATCAAAAAGATCGGACAAAAGATAACTGAAATATACCGGTTTTTGTGTAAAAATAAGGCAAAAATTAAGGGTTCCCCGACTAATTTGCCTTATTTTTACACAAAAACCGGTATATTTCAGTTATCTTTTGTCCGATCTTTTTGATCTTGGTACCGTTTGATAAGAGATTAAAAATGCTAAAAAAAAGTATTCTTGACATTTTTTCATAGAATTAGCCGTTTTCGAGTTATTTAAGTTAGAAAAATTCAAACGGCCGCCATTTTGAAATTTACAATCGGAACAACTTTATTATTTTTTCTATTATAGGTCTTGTGTATGGTAACATGTTTACCAAGTTTCATAATCATCGAATAAAAAACTTCACAGATAAAAATATTTTTGTATAAAAAACAAAATGGCGGATATCTGGGTAAATATGGATTTTCGGACATACCTTCCCATAAACTTTTTTCTTCCTTTTAGTATGGGGATTCATTTCCCAAAGTCCTGAAACGTTTTTTATGGACACCCTGTATAACACAACCTATATATCTCATGTTGAATAGGCCAACATGAGTTTTGTGATAATTGTTTTGAAGCTACCATGCATCTGATGACCATGTTTAAGGTGTCATTGAATAGGTTGTCGGCATGTAGATTTGCCATCAAACAAAAAATTTTTGAAATTCCATTCTGCTTCAGTGGTCTTTAAAGTTCCCATGTTATTCTTATAGCGCCTCGTTTTCCTAGTCAGGAACCGTTGAGAACCTCTTTAGCAAGGGCAAAGGAGTGGGGGGGGGGGGGGCGTGACGTCACTCTTTTTTTGAGGGAACACCATTACTGTAACGAGACGGAGTGTTTCCATTGGCGTTCGTGGCGTAGTTGATAGCGTCTCGGACTGGTACGCTAAAGGTCTCCAGATCGAATCCCGTCGGGAACTCTAACTTTTTGTCAAATATTTTGCTTAGAATGAGAATACTTCTTGGCTGTATATCTTTTGTTAGAATTTGAGGCATTTATAATTTTATTTATGAACAGAACTATTTTTTTATTAGTAAATAAAACTTCATTCCATTTTTATCTTATATCTTTTTTATATGATCTGCAAGTTTGGTTGGCTAGTATGTTATGACAGTTTAATTTTTTTATTAAAAATTATAAAATTGATTTAATAATTAACCCTCCGAGTGACCCTTGTTTCGGCCTTAATGTCTGCCTATTTTTTGCTCATTTGCAAGGTTTTATTAAAACGGATCTGAGAAGCTTGAAAACAATATTAATTATACTGTTCTATATACCATTTTGTTTGGAAAATCATGGGCTTCAATATTATACATAAAACATATGGAACATTTGTTTCAAAAAAATTTTTTAGGTAAAAAAAATATTTTGGAAAATTTTCAAAAAAAATAAGTTTGCGCTCAATGAAATTGTATAAATTATAGGCCTATAAATATTTGAAAATAGCCACTTTGTTCTAAATTTTATGAGGATTACAAATATATAATAATATAAGGAAGTAGATTTGCAAATAAATAAGTTATGGGCAAAAAACAGATTTCAGTACATCGCGTTTAGCTAAGAATGCATAGCCTAACCATAGCTAAGAATCTGGCTGATAATTTACATCAATATCACTAAGCTTACCTACTTCTTCAGGATCATCCACCAGCCCTTCAAAATCACTTAAATCTTCTTATAATTCACCACATATATCACTACTTTTGATTTTTAACACTAAAACAATGATAAACGTAATAAAACACATCAGTCATAGGATAACCAAGCTGTTTACAAATACGCACGTCAGCTGTCTGCTACAATATTTTTGGAACTAAAATGAATAGCGCTTAGAGACAGACGTCCGGAGAAAGCTCTGAATCTATAAAATAAAACGATACCTAACTCGATCCAGTTCAATCCGATTTTGTCAGTCATAGAGCCTTCGCCGTAAACAGTGTTTGTGAGTCGCTGCAGCGACACAAAACACTACACAAAGTGTGTTATGTGTCGCTGCAGCGACAAATAACACTCGGAGGGTTAATTTTATAACTAAAAAATTATTCAAAAAATTTAAAATTTTTCATAAATTGACGTGAGGAGCTCTCCCATAATCCCCCTCTCCTTTGTAGAAAAGGTTCTCATCGGTTCCGGACCAGGAAAATGAGTAGCTAGTTGTTATTCTTAGGGAGAAAATATTATTTGTTTACATTTGAAGAGATGAATACTTTGAAATTTACACTAATATTTGAAACAGCTGGTTATACTAAAATTGAAATTATTGGAAACATGAGCTATAGGATTTATTAGATTTGTCGTAAAGATAAAAATGTACTCTTTTTTATGTTTTAAAAATTGATATTTCACTGCAAAACACATTTATAAAGGTTTAACGAATTTAAAAGTCAACTGACAGTAAAGCAGTTACACTATTTGTTGTGATTTTAAGATCTTTGTTTTACTGAAACTAAACAACAGAATTTTATTTTATGAGTGGAGAATATTAATTTTGAAGGAACAATTTTTGTCATCCAATTGTATATCTATTGTAAGGGATGGTACCTGCATTCTTCTGTATGATTATTTATGACAAGAATAATGACCAGAAGTTATTGATATTAGTTTTACACATGTTTTTCATCTCCAAAAATAATATTTTATTATATCGGTAGGTAGGATGGGCGGGTCCCCGAAAATTCTGGAAAATGCCATTGCTGTGTTAAACAGGAATCTTGTTATTTCGTCAGGCTTGATTAAGGAGTGACTGTGGGTAAAGAAATTACTTTTTAAAAACATGTGGAGGAAATGTGCAAAAAAATTAAATGATTCTTAAATTTAGAAGTTTAGGACAGAGCCAATAGAGGCATGACTGAGAAGCATTTGATGACACTGTACAAAGGGTGTTGTTATGAACATATGAATCAGTTGTTACCATAGCAACCAAAATGTTAATCATCAAATGCTGTTTAGTTTTCTATTCTGATCTTTAATATAACACAGTTACTTCTATTTCAACACTCTGTCTTTTTTATATTCTAATATTTCCACTCGAGTCATCTCAGTTGGCGACTAGGATGGGATAAAACTTTTATAAATTCTTGTTTTATTCTATTATTTTCAAGATATTTTATTTTGTTAAACATTTCAACTTAAAATGAATGAAGAACAATTTGAAAGACTCATGAATGTTTTGGCTGCAGCTCTAAGTAAAAAAACTTCAACTCCTCAGATCAATCCTTTTGAACATTTTGATCCAAATAATGATAAATTCAAATCATATTTGGAACGTTTTGAAAATTATTGCAATTTGAAGAACATTACAGAAGACAAGATGAAAGCTCAACTCCTGTGCTCATCTATTGGTAAGGAACATTACAATAATCTGACAACTCATTTAGGCCCAGATAATCCTGTAAAAGACTTAAATTTTTCAACATTAATCGACCATTTCACAGTGATGTTGTCACCTACAGTATCTCATATTGTTGCACAACACTATTTCCTCAGTGTTTCACAACAGTTGCATCAATCTATCTCTGATTTTGTCACAGTCCTGAAAGTTAACCTGAATGATTGTAATTTTTACACTTCTTGCAATGAATGTGAAAGTAAAATTTCAATTGCTGATGAATTTCTCCGCCCTCAATTTATTAGAGGACTAAAAGACAATTGGATACGTGAACAACTTCTACAAGACACTAATCTCAACAGTTTTGACACACTCCTCAAGAAAGCAATTGCCCTAGAAGCTTCCCGCTATGAATCAAATAAAATTTGTAATCCTGCCACACAATCATCAAGTGAAAATGCAGATACACAC